ACTCAGGAATGGAAAACCAAACATCATATGTTCTCACCCGTAAGTGAGAGCTCATCTATGAGGATGCAAAGGCATAAGAATGGCACATGGACTTTGGGGACTCGGGGGAAGGGATGGAAAGGGGGTGAGTGATAAAAGACTACAATTGGGTTCAGTGTCTACTGCTCGAGTGATGGGTGGACCAAAATCTCACAAATCACCGCTAAAGAACCTATGCATATAACCAAACACCACCTGTTCCCAAAAAAAACTATAGAAATAAAATTTGTTTTAAAAAAACGCCTCGCTCTTATAAAGCCCAATTGTTTCCAATCAGGGAACAGCCTTGTTTTCTAATCAGGGACGTGGATTTTGCTATCTGTGCTCCGTCCTCCTACAGAGCTTCATGCCCCTCTCTAATCAGCAAACAGATGGAGAAGAGAGCAGGGCTCCTGCAGAGACGGTTTCTTCAGACTGGGCTAAAAGTGACACGTTCCATGGCCAGGATTGATGCTATGCTCACATCTAGCACAAAGGCAGTGACAAAAGACAGTAACACGATCTCACCAGAAGGGTGCGTGTCCAGAAGGATGAGGAATGCAGGATACTGGTGAGCACTGATAGCTGCTGCCCCGTCCCGGTTCCTCCCACCATCAGGCCATCCAGATTCACAAACACTTGCTGATGCCTTCCACAGGCTGGGGCCACACAGGTTTTCCAGGGCCATGACATGAGCCATGCCCAATCGTGCCATCAAGGTGCTATCCACCCAAAGGAGGAAGACGGATGGTCTAGATAGCAAAATATAATAAGGTGGCAAGTACTATATACAGCTTGATAAAGGGCTAGGTCACCACAGAGGGAAAAGTCCAATTTATTCTGCCTCGGGAAGGTGAGGCAGTTGTGACACCAGCATTGGGTCTTGATTGATGAAAAGAATGTCCCCGGAAAAGGAGTTTTAGGTAAAGGGGTCGGCTGAGCAAAGATGCCACAGTACAAAGGTAACAAGCCAGGGGTGGCTGCTGTGTGACACAGACAGCGTGGAAAGCCCTGGAACCCTGTCTCCCAAAGCTATTGAGTCCTATCTGCCTATTGACGTTCCGCCCGCCCGCAAAGCCCAGAGTCCTCCAAGAGGCCTTTCTTCACAGCCTTTCCTACACACACAGCAACCGGCCAGGGTCAGGCCAATGTCTAATTAATCCCAAGAACCCAGCGGAGAATAGCCCAGCACCTTCGGCACAGGAGCGCCTTGGGAAGTCAAGGTCAAGGACTCCAGCCTCATTTATGTGATGGTAAATAGCACTGGTCTTTGTCAAATGGCTGGAAATTTTGTTCACCCCCTGCTGCCCCCGGAGCTAGTTAATGGTTAGTTTCTGATTGCTGCCTCATGCTGTCCGGCGGGAGGTTCTGAATGACTCAGGGTTCTGCTGACATTCCAGGAGGTCACCGGAGAGATGAGACGCTCCCCCAGACGTGACCCCAGGCACACAGGCAGCGGACACAGCAGGAAGCAGGAAAAGGGCCTCTCTCCCTTCTGAGTGCTCGGACATCAGCTAAAGAACCAAGACCCTTGCTGTTCCTCCAGATGACTCTGTAATACCATGAACACAAAATAAAATCTGCTCAGCCTACTTTTCTAAGAGCAGATGCCCTTTTCCAAGGTGGATAGAAACCCGATTGGCTGCACAGAAAAGAACGTTTCAGCTCTTCCGAATTTCTAAAACTGTGCATATGCACGTTAGATAGTTGACCACTAACGTTCCTAAGACGATAACACGAAGAAAGAGTTGTTATTTCAAAAAGAAGTCCGTTGAGACATGTTTAAAATTCACACGTATATGACTTAAAAATATTACCATGCATGAATATAGACTATCTAAACGGATCCTCACTGGAGGGACAAAAGCATTCAGAGTAAAAGGCCTGACAAGTTAGTAGCCATTGCATCCTTGCGATCTCACGCACACAGTGATCCATTAGCCGTCGTCATAACAACTGAAGGGGACTGAGCACTTGCTGTGTGGCAGGCACTACGCTAAGGGCTTTATGCATTTCCTCGGTTAATTATCAGTCCCACAACAGCAGTCCTGTTACCATCTCATTTTACGGATGAGGAGCAGAGGCCTGCATTGGACCTCCCAGGGAGAAGGTAATAAAGTCAGGCCTAGCATTCAAGTGTGTCTAAGTCTAAAACCTATGGCTTTAACCAACCACCACACCGTCTCCTTAAACGGTTCCTATGTGTCTATTCATTCCTTAAACAAACATTTATTGGGCACCTGTGTGCAAGCACTCAGCTAAGTCCTAGAGGATAAAAATGTATATAAAAGTCTGCCCTCTGCAAACCTGGGCTCTAGCAGTCAGTATCCACTTTATCTTTAAAATGCCTACACCGATGGCTATTTTATTCAAAATAACCTCAAACTGGAAACAACCCAAATGGTCTTCAGAGGGTAAGTGGTTAAAAATCAACAGTGGCTGATCCAAACCACAGAATACCACTCACCAATAAAAAAGAGCAAACTATTAGCACCGAAATGACCTGGATGGGCCTCAAAGAGACCCTTCTGAATGAAGAAGTCCGCTAGCCGGTGATCTATTATATTAGTCCATTCTCACACTGCTGTAAAGAAGTACCAGAGCCTGGGTCATTTATAAAGAAGAGCTTTCACTGGTCACAGTTCTTCACGCTGTACAGAAAGTATGATGCTGGTATCTGCTTAGCTTCTGGGAAGACCTCAGGAAACTTACAGTCATGGCAGAAGGCAAAGGGGAAGCGGGCATATCTTACATGCCCGGAGCAGGAGGGAGTGGGGAGGTGGGGTTGTGCCACACACTTTTCAACAGACAGATCTTGTGAGAACTCTATTGTGAGAATAACACAAGGGAAATTATGTAAGCCATTAGAAACCACCTCCACGGCCGGGCGTGGTGGCTCACATCTGTAATCCCAGCACTGTGGGAGATGGAGGCAGGTGGATCATTTGAGGTCAGGAGTTCAAGACCGGCCTGGCCAACAAAGTTAAAACCTATCTCTACTAAAAATACAAAAATGTGCTGGGTGTGGTGGCAGGTGCCTGTAATTCCAGCTACTCAGGAGGCTGAGGCAGGAGAATCACTGGAACCCAGGAGGCTGAAGTTGCAGTGAGTCCAGACGGCGCCACTGCACTTCAGCCTAAGTGACAGAGAGAAAAAACAAAGAAAGAAAGAAAGAAAAAGAAACCATCCCTATGATCCCATCACCTTCTACCAGGCCCCACCTGCAGCAGTGGGGATTACATTTCAACGTGAGATTTCGGCGGGAACACAGATCCAAACCGTATTACATATGATATGATACCATTTATGCAACATTCTGAAATGACAAAATTACAGTGATGGAGAACAGGTGAGTGGTCGCCAGCAGGTAGGGAGAGGGGAAAGGAGGAAAGGGGACTTGAGGCTCTAAAGGGGTAGCATGAGGGAGCCTCCTGGTGATGGAACAGTCCTGTATCTTGATTTTGGCTATGGTTATAAGAATCCACACGTGATAAACCTGCATAGAACTCTACACACTCACACACACACATACATATGAAACGGGAAATCTAGGTAGGTTCTGTGACCTAGTCTCAACATCATGGTAGCGATTCAGTATGGCAGCTATGTAAGATATTACACTGGGGGAAACTGAGGAAAGGGTACAAGGACCTTCCTGCCTAGTTTTTGCTCGCACCATCCTTGAGTCTGTGTCAAATTTGTGTAAAGAATTGAATGACTCTGCAAGTTTTTTCCTTTATTGGAGGCTATTTAACCTCACTGTTGCCCAGAGAAAGCGAAGTTTCAGTGGTACTCGGCAGACCCCAAATTGAAGTTCTTGTAGCTGGTAGTTAGATAAAGCCAGCAATTAACCTGTAACTATCCTGTCTGCAGCCAAATGATAGTTTCCATACAGTGATTTCTCTTTTTGGCATTTTTTGATTTGTTTCTTGGGATCTTTTTTTCTTCTGAAGCACAGCTCTTTTATTAAATAGACCCAAAAGCACACATTTGATACTTTCATACATTTTCTAAACTACGATCTAAAATGTTTTTATGAACATGCATATGAATAAATAACAACCCCTCCCAATCTATGCCATGCTTCTTTTTGAAGAATTATCCCATGTTATCCTATTTTTATAACATGCCACCCATGAACCTGATTCAAAGGCCAAAATCCCACAAAATAAAGGTAGCATTTGGTCTGACAATCCACTCCAAGCAACCAAAGCCTTCTCTTGGGTCAGTAGAAGTTTTGGTCCTGCGTCTATCAAAATCCTCTCATTCTCTAACAGACTATGTCTTTATGCGGCCTATTTTGTCAAATACAAGGTGCCATGAATTGAGAGACATCTTGATTTCCAGAATGAGATTCTCCAGCATGAAGAAAACCTGTCTTCCAATCGCTGGGCTGTGGTGGGAGCACCACCCTCCAGGTGGAGAAAGTGTAGCCTCTGCGTGTATTTGAAGAGCCAAACATCCCTTAAGCCATAAATAAAATGTTTCATTCTTGGGGATGTAAGGAAAACAAAAATACAGGACAGGCACAGTGGCTCACGCCTGTAATCCCAGCACTTTGGAAGACCAAGGTCAGGAGTTTGAGACTAGCCTGGCCAACACGGAGAAACCCCATCTCTACTAAAAATACAAAATTAGCCAGGCGTGGTGGTGCATGCCTGCAATCCCAGCTACTCGGGAGGCTGAGGCAGGAGAATTGGTTGAACCAGGGAGGTGAAGGTTGCAGTGAGCTGAGATCGTGCCGCTGCACTCCAGCCTGGGCAACATAGCAAGACTCCATCTCAAAAATAATAAAAAAACAAAAACAAACAAACGAACAAAAAAGACCACCAAAACCAAACCAAGGTTTCCCTTTTGCACACTAAGAACTCGGTGGGGAACAATCGCTTGGTTCTTGGCACTGGCCAGATGAGCTCATGAGAAAATTCCCAGCAAGAGCAGTGCCTGGGTGACTGCAGTGAGTCACCGTCAGAGGCCTGACTCCATCACAAGGCTGCGAACAGGGTTCCCGGCACGAGCGTCAGCTACTTCCTGCCTGAGTCAGACGCAGGCCCCGGAGGCGGCTCCGCGGAGGGAAGGGGCACCTTCTCCACACACCTCCTTCACTGAGTCACAGACAAGCTATGCAGAGAAATCTCTGGGATCCGCGGCAAGGCTCTAGGCAGAGGACCGAGAAGGGAGCAGCTTCCAGAGGCCACACAGGTTTGTCTCCATGACAACAGAGGCGGGGCCCGTGGCACAAGGTCTCTAAGCGCTGAAGCGTCGCTGAACCTTAGCAAAGAACAGGAAGCATCGGCCTAATGGGACAATCAACCCAGAGCCACCTAACCACAGACCCCAAAAGGCCCCTAGACGCCACCAGTCCAGGAACAGATCAAACTCAGGAATATATGAAGTTGGGTGGAAAATCTTTGCTTCCACTAACCGGTAACTGATATTTAGCACTTTAGTTATGAAGGTAGGCAGCACACCACACGGGCAGCCTCTGTGACGTCCCCAGTAAAAAATCATAATATGCTCATGTCACATGATGGGTGTTGCAGATTTTTGTTTGAGACAGAGTCTGGCTCTGTCACCAAACATGGAATGCAGTAATATCATCACAGCTCACTGCAACCTCGACTTCCCGAGCTGGAGGGACCCTCCCGCCTCAGCCTCCAAGTAGCTGGGACTATAGGCACATGCCACCACACCCAGCTAATTTTTTAAAGATGGGATCTCACTATGTTGCCCTGGCTAGTCTCAAACTCCTGGGCTCAAGTGATCCTCCTACATCACCTCCCAAATGCTGGGATTACAGGGAGAGCCACCACACCTAGCCTGTTGCAGAAGTCTTGAAGGAATATTTACCCTTCATCTCTACTCTGAAATTGTGGTTATTATCAGACTTGCCTCTATTAAATGCATTATTAAAGTAGCACATACATTTCTTATATTTGGCATTCTGATATCGTATTTCAATAATTCTTTCCTTCGTAATCCAAAGTATTTTATTTTTAAAATTTAAACATTATTCTAAGAAGGGGCTCAAAATCAACCCTAGAGGATCAGAGGGGCTGCCGCATAACAAAAAGCTTTAGGACACAGAACAAAGTACTTCAGAGGGACTTACACTACAGTTTTCAAATTTTCATTTTCAGAGATAGGATCTCGCTCTGTCACCGAGGCTGGAGTACAGTGGTCCAACATAGCTCACGGCAGCCTTGATCTCCTGGGCTGAAGCGATCTTCCCCTTCAGCCTTCCGAGTACCTGGGACCACAGGTAAGTGCCACCACACCCAGCTATTTTATTTTTTGTAGAGACAGGTCTCCCTATGCTGCCCAGGCTGGTCTCAAACTCCTGGGCTCAAGCGATCCTCCAGCCTCAGCTTCCCAAAGTGCTGAGATTATGGGCATGAGCCGTCGCACTGGCCCATAACAGAAATGTATTTTCTCATGCTTCTGGAAGCTGGGAGTCAAAGATCAAAGTGTCGGCAGGGCTGGGTCCTTCTGAGGCTGTGGGAAGGACCTGTCCAGGCCTCTGCCCATGACCAGTAGTCAGCTGTCTTCACTGTCTCTTCTCATCCCTTCCCTCTGCACGTGCCTGTCTCCAAATTTCCCTTTGTATAAGGACATCAGCCATATTGGATTAGGGCCCATCCTAAGGACCTCTTTTTAACTTGATCGCCTTTGGAAAGAACTTTCTCCAAATAAGGTCACACCCTGAGGTGCTGGCGAGTAGGAGTCCAAGGTAACACTTTCGGCAGGGACGCAATTCAGCCCTTAATGTATTCCGGTCCAATCTTCATGTTTTCCTTAGAAGGCCCTTAAGCCCAGAATGACTGACAGAACTGTCCATAGAACAGAGGTTTCCTGACATCTCACTCAGGGTCTGAAGTGCTTTATATGCTGTAAAGGGCCATGCAACTTGTAGGTTACATGGCAGCTGGGATCCCTTAAACAGCCGGGAGCCATCCCTCCGCCTTGCAGATGTTCTCTGGAAGGCAAAGCTTTTCACCCTCCAGTGGTAAGCTCTTTGGGCCCCAGAAGACCAACAGGGAAAACTCCAGGCTTCATTTTTGTTTGCTATGCTTTTGGTTGGCGGCTGCTTCTAGTCACATCTCTCATTTCACAGCCATCATGAGAATATGGATCACAGCAAACTCCACCTCTACCAAAAATACAAAAAAAAAAACTTAGCCGGGTGTGGTGGCAGACATCTGTAATCCCAGCTACTTGGGAGGCTGAGACAAGAGAATCACTTGAACCCGGGAGGTGAAGGTTGCAGTGAGCTGAGATTGTGCCACTGCACTCCAGCCTGGGCAACAGAGCAAGACTCCGTCTCAAAAAAAGAAAAGAAAAGCCTGCAATCTCAGCTCCACAGAAGACATGTGAACACTTTAGGAAAATGGAAAGTATTCTCCTTTCCTTTATTTTCCTCTGAGAATCTGTCTATAAATCAAGCCCTCAGCCCTATTGTCCAAATCTGAAATAAAGCCTGCCTTCTCCATCTGACCCTATTCTCAAGAGACCTGAAATGAAATCTTCCCACATAGCCCTTGGCAGGCACAGATCCAGGATATGGAACAGGTCTGATGGAAATGTGTGAAAGCACAGTGTCGGGCCCAGATCCACCTATTTCTTTTTCCTTTTTCTTTTTCTTTTTCTTTTTTTCTTTTTTTTTTTTTTTTTGAGACACAGTCTTGTTCTATTGCCCAGACTGGAGTGCAATGGCACCATCTTGGCTCACTGCAACCTCCACCTCCCGGCTTCAAGTGGTTCTCCTGGCTCAGCCTCCCGAGTAGGTGAGACTACAGGTGCCCACCACCACGCCTAGCTAATTTTTGTATTTTTAGTAGAGATGGGATTCACCACGTTGGTCAGGCTGGTCTCGAACTCTTGACCTCAGGAGATCCACCCACCCCGGCCTCCCAAAGTTCTGGGATTACAGGTATGAGCCACTGCACCCAGGCAGATCAACCTATTTCAACACATTGGCCAGAATCTATAAATCCAAGGCATCATTCAGGATTTAGTTAAGAAACCCCAATGTCCTAATGGGGAAGTCAGAATGATCACCTTCACTAGACAGCCTGGAGTCAAGGGAGGACAAGGGAGACCATTACTTGCAAGTCCTAAGGGACAGGAGGGACATTTATCATCTCCGAGCACTGACTTCATCAGCCATTCACCAAACCAGACTAGTGACAGCCCCTGTCTGTGAACTCAGGGTGCTTTGCACTTGTTTGTAACATACAACATGCACACACAATGGCAAGCAAGCACGCATGTACTGCCTCACATCCGCCTCCCTGCTGGACCGCAGCCACCATCAGGGAAGGGGCGACTGCCTCTCCCACCCTCTGCTCCACCCTCAGTGCTCAGCACAGATTCCCACACATGGTAGAGTCTGGTAAACATTCACTAAGTAAATACACGCCTCTCCCTCTTCCACACCCCTCTCTGATAGCCTATGACCCTTTTTCAGTACTTCTTCCCATTTAAGGTTGAACTAGGGTTCATTTAAATTTAGCTTTTAAAATATAAATACATGCCCACAGTGCGGGGGCAGAAAGCACACACAGATACACACAGGCTCCACCCTCCAGCCACGGGAGAAGGCACTGTGGCTATTTGGGGCCACAGTATTCTGTTACCTTTATTGAACATTCAGTTTTTATCAAAGATTTTCTGTATACTGCCTCATTTATTCTACACGATAACCTTAGCTAGAGACTCATAGGCTTGGGGCTTGAACACCTTGTCCAAGGTCACACACCTAGAGGATATGAACCAGGACTGGCTCTAAAAGAGGTCTGAGTCCAACACTGGGCTTAATCAGCTTCCTGTGCTACCTGCCCGGAAGTGGCTTCATTACTCTTAAAGAATTTGGCTTCCCACCCCTTCTGCAAGCACGGCTACCAAGCTGTTCCTCCTGCAATATATAATAAGACACATCTGAAGTTTGACTTCCTGCCTCTTGGTTCCCACACCCCCAGGAGGCAGCTGTCAGAGTCCTTCAGTGGCTGAAGGAGCAGAGCCTGGGCCTCCCAGGTGTCACACAGGCACCAGGAAATATTAAATTAAAAGGGGAAGTTCTTCTTTGGTTCTAGTCCTTACCTTATCAGAGGTGTTGGAACAAGGCTGACATTTACAATGCACAGGAGCTTGGCTACTTCAGCAATCGCATGGCCACTGGTATTTCCGGAAGGATCCTTTTCAATGCTAAACACATTTTCTCTTGGCACTTGAAACTAGGTTCCAGACGGGGAAGTGGCTGAATACTAATTACTTGTAGCAAGGACACTGGAAGACCATCTTTCACTTTTTTCCCAATTTCAATAATCTGTTCCAGAATGCTTCTTACCCAAGCCCACCTTCCAGAAAATAAGTTTAAAAACTGGGAAAATCCACAGTTAGGATGAAATGAATAAAAATGTCTTTCCTTCCTTCCTTTATTTGGCAAATATTTAGTGAGCGCTTACTATCCCAGGCAGGGGGCTAGATCTTGGGGAGAGAGTGATGAGTCAAAACTGGCCCAGTTCCTACCCTCAAGATGCTTAAGTCTAATGAGATAACGGGCATGAAGCAAATAATCACACCAGTAAAGGCGCAGCTGCAACTCTGGGGGTCCCACAAAAGAGGCACGTGGTCTAATGAGTGCATGTTGTAGGGCCTGACCTAGCCCAGAGGCCGAGAAGACTCCTTAGTGCCACGACACCTAATGCACTAGAAATCACCTGGTAAGCCACACACGGTGGCTCACACCTGTAATCGCAGCACATTGGGAGGCTGAGGCGGGTGGATCATGAGGTCAGGAGTTCAAGACCAGCCTGGCTAAGATGGTGAAATCCTGTCTCTACTAAAAATACAAAAAAATCAGCTGGGCATGGTGGCTCATGCCTGCAATCCCAGCACTTTGGGAGGCCAAGGGAGGCGGGTCACAAGCTCAGGAGACCAAGACCATCCTGGGCAACATGGTGAAACCTCATCTCTACTAAAAATACAAAAATTAGCTTGATGTGGTGGCGCATTCCTATAATCCCAGCTACTCAGGAGGCTGAGGCAGGGGAATAGCTTGAACCAGGGAATCTGAGCTGAGATCACACGACTGCACCCCAGCCTAGCAAGAGAGTGAGACTGTGTCTCGAAATAAATAAATAAAAATGCAAAAAATTAGCCAGGTGTGGTGGCAGGTGCCTGTAATCCCAGCTACTTGGAAGGCTGAAGCAGGAGAATTGCTTGAACCAGGGAGTTGGAGGTTGCAGTGAACTGAGATTGCACCACTGCACTCTAGCCTGGTGACAGAGTGAGAATCTGTCTCAAGAAAAAATAAATAAAAATACAAAAAATTAGTTGGGTGTGGGGCGAGCACCTATAATCCCAGCTACTCAGGAGGCTGAGGCAGAGAACTGCTTGAACCCAGAAAGTGGAAGTTGCAGTGAGTCAAGATCACACCACTGCACTCCAGCCTGGCCTAAGCGACAGAGCGAGCAAGAACCAGAGGCCCCAGGAGACGGCGAGCTTTGCTTACGATGTGTGTCATTAAACCCATGAGCCGCAGGGAACCATTGGAGGGCTTTTAAACCTTGCAAGACACAATCAGTTGCCTCAAAAATATTCCTCTAGTTTCATGGTAGAATAATGAGTAATATTAGCAGTGGCTCACGCCTGTAGTTCTAGCACTTTGGGAGGCCAAGGCCGGAGGATCACTTGAGCCCAAGAGTTTAAGACAAGCCTGGGCAACATACAAGGCCTTGTCTCTACAAGAAATTAAAAATCAGCTAGGCATATAGTCCTAGCTACTCAGGAGTCTGAGGCAAGAGGATTGCTTGAGCCCAGGAGGTCAAGGCTGCAGTCCCACCCATGTAGCAGAACTAGACCCAGTCTCTAAAAAATGATCATAGTAAATCAAAAAACAAACACACGGAAAGTGAAGGACAAGAGACGGCTCCCCCGACAGTAGAATACTGAATGGTAAACACACAGGAGGGGTAGAACTGGAAAACCATGTTTCTGCAATCATCACGGCAAAAACTGGTTGAGACGAGAATCATCAATGAGGGCTAAAATTAAAAGGAAGTTTGCATGAGGAGCAGGATGTGTTCATGGTCTCAGTGCTTCCCCGTAGATTGCTTATTAGCTCCAAGGTAGAAAATAGTAAGTATACAGTGGAAAAACTGAAGAATACATTGGGCAGGTGATCAGATTATTACCTATAAGAGGCAGGTGGGGTCCCAGGCCTTCACAGGTGATACCCCAAGAGACACAAGGTGACTTCCATAATTGATGAAATTGGAAGACGGACTACATTATATACAAGTATTCTATCAAGGCCAGATTTTCTGAATTGGATAACTGTACCATGGTCATATGAGACCCTCCTTGTTCTTACAAAACATACACTGAAATATAAAGGGGTAAAGGAGCCTGATTTATGCAATCTACTCCCCGATTATTAAGGGGAAAATAGAAAATAAAAACAACATGCACATACAGAGAGAATGAGAAAGAGAGTTACCAAGTGAATGTGGCAAAATGTTTATTTTGAATAAAGGGACTAAGGGATTTCTCTGTACTATTTTTACAGCTTTTCTTTAATTTGGAAATTATTTCATAATAAAAAGTTAAAAAATCAAATACCTAAGAATAAATGTGATAAAATATGTGTAAGACCTCTATGTAGAAGACATGGATATTAAGACAAAAAACCCTAAATATATGAAGGAATAAGCCATTTCTTAGATTGAAAAAGTCAACATTGTAAAGATAGCAATTCTTCCCAAAGTTACCTATAGAGTTAATGTGATTTAAATTAAAATCTTAGCAAAATTTGTATGGAAATTCAAAAGCTTATTCTACAATCAAATGGAAATCCAATGGGCCAAGAATAGCCAGGCAATCTTGCATAAGAACAGAGCAAGATGATTTACTCTACCAGATGTCAAACTTTATTTTTAAGCTACATTAAGGGAGTGTGATACTGGTGCAAGTTTAGACAAATGCACATGGAATGTCTAGAAGCAGACCCTCTAGATTAATGACAAAGACAGCACTCGAACGCAATGGGAAAGGCAGCCTTCCAATGAGTGGTGCCAAGTCAGTTAGATATGGAGAAAAAGTGACACCAGACCCCTGTCATCATTCACAAAGACCAATTCCAGGCGGGTTGTAGGTACAAAGGCAAAACCACAAGACTTCTTGAGAAGATAACGGTGGCCAGACACCGCTCACACCTGTCATCCCAAAACTTTGGGAGGCCGAGGCCAAAGGATCACTTGAGGCCAGAATTTTAAGACCAGCCTGGCCAACATGACAAAACTTTGTCTCTATTAAAAATACAAAAATTAACCAGGCAAGGTGACACATGCCTGTAATACTCAGCTACTCAGGAGGGCAAGGCGCAAGAATGGTTTAAGCCCAGGAGGCAGAGGTTGCAGTGAGCAGAGATCACACCATTGCACTCCAGCCTGGACGAAAGAGCAAGACTCTGTCTCAAAGAAAAGAAAAGAATAATTATTATTGAGCTCGTTTCTCAGCTCCACACCCACACTTCTTTGTCCTGCTTTGTAATTCTGGGGCCAGTACTCTTCACTTCCCCCTTGCTGGTCAGCTCCCTGCTAGAATCTGCAATAGGAGCTACTAGAAAGAGGTAGAAATTCAGGAAGAGTGAAATGGAGATGTCCTCCGCGCTGATGCCGTCACTGGGCAGTGTCTTGGTTCCAGCCCTCAGCTTCTTTCAGCTCTCCCGGAACCAATCTCATCACAGCCCCTCAGGGCTATCAGCAGCTCCTCCTTAGAAGTCTGAGGCTCCTCCGCTGTGAAGGATCCCTTCTCTGAGCTACAAGGTTTTGATAACATCACCCTCTTCCCTTTGCTCCTCTAGTCTTTGAGGCAGTAACCATTTCTGAAGCTATTGTCTCTGTTATCTTAGGACTCCTGTTTTGGTTTTCAGACACTGAAACCTGTGTGACCATTTCTCTTTATTAGATTCTCTCTCCTGAAATTTACAGTGTTTTCCCAACTTGACCATGACTGATACAATAACACACACGAATATCCTTGTGGCCTTGGGGCAGGGAAAGATTTCTTAAGCATAAAGAGGATGCTTGATAAGTTAGATTACATTGAAAATATCCCAAGACAGCTTGGTGTTTACCTTTATTTTAGGTTTGTGGGTATATGTGAAGGTTTGTTATACAAGTAAACTAATGTCATGGGGTTTGTTATACAGATTATTTCTTCTCCCAGGTAGTTATCCTTTTCTTTTTTTTTTTTTTTTTTTTTTTTTTTTTTTTGAGACAAAGTCTCGCTCTGTCCCCCAGGCTGGAGTACAGTGGTGTGATCTCACCTCACTTCAACCTTTGTGTCCCAAATTCATGTGATTCTTTGGCCCCAGCCTCCTGAGTATAGCTGGGGCACAAGTATGTGCCATGATGCCTGGCTAATTTTTGTATTTTTAGTAGAGACAGGGTTTTACCTTGTTGTCCAGGCTGGTCTTGAACTCCTGACCTCAAGTGATCCACCTGCCTCGGCCTACCAAAGTGCTGGTATTAGAGAGGTGAGCCACCACACCTGGACTAATTTTTGTATTTTTAGTAGAGATGGGGTTTTACCATGTTGGCCAGACTGCTCTCAAACTCCCAACCTCAGTAATTTGCCCACCTTGGCTTACCGAAGTGCTGGGATTATAGGTGGCTCACACCTATAATCCCAGCCCCCAATAGTTATATTTTCTGCTCCTTTCCCTCCTCCCATTCTTCTCTGTCAAGTAGGCCCCACTGTGTGTTGTTCCCCTATGTGTGTCCATGCGTTCTCATCATCTAGCTCCCACTTATAAGTGAGAACATGCGGTATTTGGTTCCTGTTCCTGCGTTAGCTTGCTAAGGACAATAGTCTCTAGCTCCATCTACGTTCCTGCAAGAGACATGATCTCATTCCAAAGACAGCTTTTCATGGGTTAAAAGGCAAGTGACAGAGCAGGAAAAGCCATCTGCTACTCATTTAACAACAAAAGACCTTGCATTCAGAAACATCCTACATATAAGAGCAGAAAATTCAGTTTCAAAAAATGAGCAAGACTTCAAAATACGCTTCGCAAAAGACTATTCAAATATCCAGTAAACACATGAAAAGACACTCAACCTCATTTGTCAAAAGTGGAATGCAAATTAAAATTGTAAAGTGATACCACCAGTACATACCATCAGAGAAGCTGAAATTAGAAAGACTGGCGATACCAGGTGAGGGTGAAGATGCAGGGAACCGACCCCCGGTCCACTACAGGTGGGAAGGTAAATGAGTGCCACAGTTGAGGAAAACTGTTCAGCACTAGCTACCAAAATTGAACACATGCCTACCATCCGACGGTCTCATCCCCATTTACAAATCCGATGAAATGCCTGCCCTTTTTCAATGAAATATGGGTGCAAGAATGCTCTCAGCATCGTTATTGATAATAATAATAAACTGAAAAAATACACGTGACCACAGACAGTAGAATGGAAAATAAGCTGTTAGTATATCCATACAATAAAACACTATACAAAAATGAGAATCAATCACTACCTAATGCAACAGTAAGTATGAATCTCAGAATTTAATGTTGAGGAAAACAAAGTCACGGAAAGATAATACACTGTGATTTATGTAAAGTTTAAAGTAAAACAGACAGGTGAAATGAAACTATAGCACCTGGGGATACATGCTTAGATGGTAAAACTGTCAAAAGCAGCAGAGAAGTCACTACCACCTATATCAGGATGGTGGTTACTTCCGGGGACAGAAAGCGGGTGGCAATTAAAATGAGGCATGAAGGAGCCTTCTAGATGCCTGCAATGTCTGAATTTTTTAACCTCATGGTATATATCTTTGTTTGGCAATAAATTATAGAACCATACTTTATATTTTCCATGCTTTTTTTCATGTACGTTGTACTTCACCATAAAAAGATTACAATGTAGATAATAATGCACATTTCTTAGGATGACCATTAGAATTAAATGAGGCAGGCATACAGAAGGCTTTGCTAAGTGCCTGCCATTCAGCCAGCACTCATCACATAATGGTTATTACTATCTGATGTCCCACCACTGAGCAATGAAAATAACTACTAATGCTGGGCTAGGAGAAAGCAAACTCTAATGAGAGGACTTCAAATAGTTTCTAGTATATTCTCAAAAACTGCAGGTAGAGGCCAGAGGTAAGATGTACGTGTGTTTGCTACAGATAAATGCCAGGAGACAAAGGGGACTACCGCAACGCTTGGCACATAAGAGTCACTCAATCATTACTAGAAACATGGATGGAAGGATGGATGGATGGGTAGATGGATGAATGGATGAGTAGATGGATGAATGGATGGATGAGCAAGCAGACTGATGGGTAGGTGGATGGATGAATGGAATTATGGGCTAATGAACAAATGGATGGATGGATGAATGAATGGATGAGTGGATGGATGGGTGGATGGGTGAGCAGATGAATGGATGGGTGGGTGAATGGATGGATGGGTGGATGGATGGATGGATAGATGGATGGATGGGATGAATGAATAAATGGACGGGTGGATGGGTGAATGGAAGGATGTAAATGGATGGATGGATGGGATAAATGAATAAGATGGGTGGGTGGGTGGATGGATGGATAGATGGATAGATGAGATGAATGAATAAATGGATATGTGGGTGGGTAGGTAGATGGATGTGGATGGATGGATGGATAGATGGGATGAATGAATAAATGGACAGGTGGATGGATGGATAGATGGATAGATGGGATGAATGAATAAATGGACAGGTGGATGGAGGGATAGATGGATAGATGGGATGAATGAATAAATGGACAGGTGGATGGATGGATGGATGGATGGTTGGATTGGTAGATGTATGAGTGGATGGACGGATAAGTGTGTGGAAAGATGAACTGAAACAAGACTGGTTTGATTAAAATCTTGCAACCCCAAGGGTGTACACACTTCCTCCATGCAGTTCTCTCTGTCCAGAGCTAAACACAAGACCGCATATGATACAGTGTAATTTTAGGCTTTGTGGTAACAGGAAGGTTGGTGGCCATTTTTGCAGGCCTTTCCATGGTCATTCCTGGCTATTTACTGGCCATGGGAAAGAATTATGTCAGCCTGGATCTCTAACCTACCACCAAGTGGGAAGAGAGTTTATTTCACCTACAAATTTAATGTTCTGCCAAGGCCATCAGTCCAGGCTGTGGGCAAAGTATGAGAGTAGTTTTTCCACCCAGACAGTCCCCTACAGGGAGCAGGGGTTAAGCTAATGAACATCTAGTGGATATTCAAACAGGAAGAGAAGACACTAGGTTAAGAGCATGTTTTCCTAAGCCAGCCTAAAATGACAATCAGTCATCTGAAATGAGGACCACTGAGGCCACAATTTCTAGTCCAGTATTATATCTAATTGCAGACTTCAGAGTATTGTTCATTCAAGGGAACCATCACTCAATTCACCAAGTGGTCCCTATGGTCCATTTAGTGTGGCCTGTCTGGCCCTTAGGAATGGAAACAGAGAAGCCCGTTAACTGCACAGGCACACATTTATCACGTGGCAGAGGCCTCGTGCCTTTCTGTCTTTTTTATTCCTGTTATAAAGCAAGACATGCTGGCTCATGAAATCTGAATGCCTCCATGATCCCTTCACCTCTCTTCCCCAATCTGAATCTCTCTTGGAGTAACACAATTAAGAGTTGGGTCTGTTTCCTTCCAGACTTTTTTCTTTATGTGCACACAAACATAGACACACATTTCTTACATTTCTTTTCCATAAAAAAATAAGGTCAAAATATATATGCTGCTCAGTACCCTGCTCAGTGCTTATCATCAAGAACTTTCTGTCGATGACTCTGAAGCTACTTCCTTCTTAGTGGTGTCTGCATAGAAAAGCAGGCCCTCTGCTCCTACCCGCCAGTCCCTTCATCATTTTGGAGTGTCCATGCCTGGGCGTAGGTGAGCTTTTGCTTTAGGTGTCTATACCTATAACTCTCTTCTGAGACTTAACCTAGGGCTCCCAGAGCCATTTTGCCTGAGAGGGGCTGAAGGATTATGAACACCTGGCTCCTTGTCTCCAGTGGGTGCAATCTACATCCCAGAGTCCGGCATTGGGATCAGGCAGGTGCCAGATCAGATCTGAAATCACATCCTGACTTGTTCCTTCCACCTCCCTCCCCTGCTTCCCTGCTCCCTCACAAGGTTGTCCTGGGAACTTTTCCATAATCAATTCCATGCACAGGAACTTTCATCGCCAGGCATGTCTGGGGAAGGTGATCACAGCATGCAGTACTCCATGAGACGGGACATGCATCATTTACCTAACCAGTCTCCTGTGAGTGGACTGTGATGCTGTCCTCGATTTTTCCCATCACAGACCATTCTGGACATGGGCTGGCACACTAGTCCAACAAAAGGGTCCTCAACTGCCCTCCACCCTGGCCACTCTTACAAGTCACTTCCATGGCACACTAGTCCAACAAAAGGGTCCTCAACTGCCCTCCACCCTGGCCACTCTTACAAGTCACTTCCATGGCACACTAGTCCAACAAAAGGGTCTTCAACTGCCCTCCACCCTGGCCACTCTTACAAGTCACTTCCATGGCACACTAGTCCAACAAAAGGGTCTTCAACTGCCCTCCACCCTGGCCACTCTTACAAGTCACTTCCATGGCACACTAGTCCAACAAAAGGGTCCTCAACTGCCCTCCACCCTGGCCACTCTTACAAGTCACTTCCATGGCACACTAGTCCAACAAAAGGGTCCTCAACTGCCCTCCACCCTGGCCACTCTTACAAGTCACTTCCATGGCACACTAGTCCAACAAAAGGGTCCTCAACTGCCCTCCACCCTGGCCACTCTTACAAGTCACTTCCATGGCACACTAGTCCAACAAAAGGGTCCTCAACTGCCCTCCACCCTGGCCACTCTTACAAGTCACTTCCATGGCACACTAGTCCAACAAAAGGGTCCTCAACTGCCCTCCACCCTGGCCACTCTTACAAGTCACTTCCATGGCACACTAGTCCAACAAAAGGGTCCTCAACTGCCCTCCACCCTGGCCACTCTTACAAGTCACTTCCATGGCACACTAGTCCAACAAAAGGGTCCTCAACTGCCCTCCACCCTGGCCACTCTTACAAGTCACTTCCATGGCACACTAGTCCAACAAAAGGGTCTTCAACTGCCCTCCACCCTGGCCACTCTTACAAGTCACTTCCATGGCACACTAGTCCAACAAAAGGGTCCTCAACTGCCCTCCACCCTGGCCACTCTTACAAGTCACTTCCATGGCACACTAGTCCAACAAAAGGGTCCTCAACTGCCCTCCACCCTGGCCACTCTTACAAGTCACTTCCATGGCACACTAGTCCAACAAAAGGGTCCTCAACTGCCCTCCACCCTGGCCACTCTTACAAGTCACTTCCATGGCACACTAGTCCAACAAAAGGGTCTTCAACTGCCCTCCACCCTGGCCACTCTTACAAGTCACTTCCATGGCACACTAGTCCAACAAAAGGGTCTTCAACTGCCCTCCACCCTGGCCACTCTTACAAGTCACTTCCATGGCACACTAGTCCAACAAAAGGGTCCTCAACTGCCCTCCACCCTGGCCACTCTTACAAGTCACTTCCATGGCACACTAGTCCAACAAAAGGGTCCTCAACTGCCCTCCACCCTGGCCACTCTTACAAGTCACTTCCATGGCACACTAGTCCAACAAAAGGGTCCTCAACTGCCCTCCACCCTGGCCACTCTTACAAGTCACTTCCATGGCACACTAGTCCAACAAAAGGGTCCTCAACTGCCCTCCACCCTGGCCACTCTTACAAGTCACTTCCATGGCACACTAGTCCAACAAAAGGGTCCTCAACTGCCCTCCACCCTGGCCACTCTTACAAGTCACTTCCATGGCACACTAGTCCAACAAAAGGGTCCTCAACTGCCCTCCACCCTGGCCACTCTTACAAGTCACTTCCATGGCACACTAGTCCAACAAAAGGGTCCTCAACTGCCCTCCACCCTGGCCACTCTTACAAGTCACTTCCATGGCACACTAGTCCAACAAAAGGGTCCTCAACTGCCCTCCACCCTGGCCACTCTTACAAGTCACTTCCATGGCACACTAGTCCAACAAAAGGGTCCTCAACTGCCCTCCACCCTGGCCACTCTTACAAGTCACTTCCATGGCACACTAGTCCAACAAAAGGGTCCTCAACTGCCCTCCACCCTGGCCACTCTTACAAGTCACTTCCATGGCACACTAGTCCAACAAAAGGGTCCTCAACTGCCCTCCACCCTGGCCACTCTTACAAGTCACTTCCATGGCACACTAGTCCAACAAAAGGGTCCTCAACTGCCCTCCACCCTGGCCACTCTTACAAGTCACTTCCATGGCACACTAGTCCAACAAAAGGGTCCTCAACTGCCCTCCACCCTGGCCACTCTTACAAGTCACTTCCATGGCACACTAGTCCAACAAAAGGGTCCTCAACTGCCCTCCACCCTGGCCACTCTTACAAGTCACTTCCATGGCACACTAGTCCAACAAAAGGGTCCTCAACTGCCCTCCACCCTGGCCACTCTTACAAGTCACTTCCATGGCACACTAGTCCAACAAAAGGGTCCTCAACTGCCCTCCACCCTGGCCACTCTTACAAGTCACTTCCATGGCACACTAGTCCAACAAAAGGGTCCTCAACTGCCCTCCACCCTGGCCACTCTTACAAGTCACTTCCATGGCACACTAGTCCAACAAAAGGGTCCTCAACTGCCCTCCACCCTGGCCACTCTTACAAGTCACTTCCATGGCACACTAGTCCAACAAAAGGGTCCTCAACTGCCCTCCACCCTGGCCACTCTTACAAGTCACTTCTATGGCACACTAGTCCAACAAAAGGGTCCTCAACTGCCCTCCACCCTGGCCACTCTTACAAGTCACTTCTATGGCACACTAGTCCAACAAAAGGGTCCTCAACTGCCCTCCACCCTGGCCACTCTTACAAGTCACTTCTATGGCACACTAGTCCAACATAAGGGTCCTCAACTGCCCTCCACCCTGGCCACTCTTACAAGTCACTTCTATGGCACACTAGTCCAACAAAAGGGTCCTCAACTGCCCTCCACCCTGGCCACTCTTACAAGTCACTTCCATGGCCAGGTCACTTGTCTGACCTCCCATCATCATGGTTTAAAAATAAGAACATAAACGTGGCTGCGTGGAACCCACCACCTTTATTAACGACCGTGAAGATGAATGATTCAGTGTGCTTGTTTATTTTTCCCGGAGTTAAATCAGGATCAAAAAGTTCAGCCCACACAACTTCCTGAACCGCCTTGGGCTCAGATTCCTAAGTAATCAATGGTTGCTGTCACACAGCCTAGATGCAATAGGCTGGATCCTGCTGGTGTATTTTCAGATCAATGACTCAGAAAGGGTCCTTTGTATGAGATGCTGCGATCTCACAGCGGTGACTGTCTTCACACAGCAGTGCCTGTCTCTTCCCAGCTCCTCAGATGGCCCCAACGAAAGATGAAACTGTGATGATGGAAAGATTTCATTTATGATGCTGCTGTTGGGAACGAATTGTGAGGACAGTGAAAGGGAAAAAAAAGAAAAAAATGTAAAATATGATGCTGCTGTGATGTTTCCTGGGAATTTTAGAAAAGAAAGAGCTCTAAGTAGGTTGACTATTTCTTTTTGAAACACGAAGCTAAGACATATAGAAATTTATTTGGAACCCCTTTGTCTAGGAAACCCTGAAAATAAGCTGAACTCTAGCTCTCTGGGGAAGCACCAGGGCGGCGTCTTCCTTCACACCATCCCCTTTGCACAGAACGCACCGCAACAATCCTCTGGATCCTTTCTTCCCCCCATGGGTGGATTTGAACGACCTATCCAGGTCTGAAAGGCCCTCTCATCACTGTCTACAGGTTTCCACTCACTGAATAGTTTCTATGTGAGGTTTCAGGATTGCAAAATGCAAAAGCTTCGTCATGTTAAATATGCCTGGGAGGAGCCATGCCTCATTTTTAAAGCTTTCCAGGGCAACAAATGAAGTCAGGCCACTGACAACAGCCACCCGGTGAAAAGGGAGGCGTGGCGGCCGGCATGTCCCGCCTCCCATGCACATGGCAGCCTGGCTGGAGATGAAGTATGCAAAGAAGGCACCGCAGACCTGAAGGCATTGGCACAACCTGGGGACCAGCTGGGAACACAGAGAGCCTCATGCCCTCCGGGAACTGTCATGCACATATTTGGAAGGACAGACTCCATCCTTTGTTCTTTTTTCACCAGGGATGAGGAAACCGAAAGCAGGTTCAGTTAACTACACACCCCAAGTCCTCAAGTGACCTGCCACTTCCCATCCCAAAACCAAATCCTGCTTAGTCCCTGGGAATTCATGTCCTCTGCTTTAGGAATACTGCATCAAGCCACCCAGGAAGAGGAGATTTAAACCTTCTCCAGGGATAGCTTGGGCCCAGGAGTTCGAGACCTGCCTGGGCAATATACTGAGACCCTGTTCTCCACAAAAAGGAAAAAGATAATTTTTAAAAAAGCATAAACCTTCTCCAGAAAAGTAGCAGTCCAGAAGCTGAGAACGGAAGATAAAGTGAGTTCAAAGGGCACAGGCCCTAAATTCTCAGGGTTAGAAAGAAACCTAGAGATCAGACTCTGGTGGGGCTGGGAGCAGAATGACTATTTTTCTGAGTTTACATGGCTTACCTCAAACCAGCTCATTAGTGGCAAGTCAGAGGCTGCAGCCAACGCCCCTGGTTCCTGACCTGAGGCTCTTTCCACTGAAGCAAATGGCCAGTGCTAATAGAACCGCAGCGAGCCCAAGAGGAACCGAGTGCATGTCAGGGCCACCCTCCCACCCCGCCAACACTCCCCTCCAGGATAATGATGATAGAATGCTGCTGTGACACGTCTCGCGCACATGCCGAGGCTGAAGACCTGAGGAGGAGGCAGCTGGGTACTTTTCCATCAGCTTCGCTCCCTGCCTACCCAGTCGCCTCTCTAGGTCTGGACATTGGTGCTTCCCCAGCCCAGCTGCTGCTGATCAGAACACGGAGTTCCCACTCACACCTTCACACAGCAGACAGGCCCACAAATCCTGTCCCATCAAGCACATCGTTTGTTTGGCCTGGCAGAGCTCCGGACACTAAACAAAACAAAACTGAAAAGTACACGCTACTCTTCTCAAGTTTACACGGTCAGATAAGGCAGACACACCCACGGAAGTAATCTTCACCCCAAAAAATATGTCTCGCATTTTTGATTATGGATTCATTAAAAAAATTTATTAAATTTTGCTTCACTTACATGGGGACTAAATAGAAACAGAGATTGGCCAGTGGCTCACACCTGTAATTCTAGCACTTTGGGAGGCCACGAGTTCGAGACCAGCTTCAGGAACATAGCAAGGCCAGTCTCTACAAAAAATTCTTTCACATTAGCCAGGCGTGGTTGATTAGCCAGCTGCGGTGCCAGCTGCTCAGGA